AAGAACTAACCTTAGAAACCCTTGCAACCAAAAGAAGATGCTGCAGATCAAGTTCAGAAGCTTGTGTTTGCAGGCATCCCGACAAAAGAAACTGGCAGACCTGGCAACCTGCAACGCTGGTGCAACTGCAAGGCGAAGCAAACAGGCCGGCCCCAACCTCGGAAGCTGGGTGTTTCTGGCGAGCATCACCGGTTCTTCTTCTCTGCACAGCGACCTGGGCCACAGTAAGTCAACGTCGGGTCGCAACCTTTAGAAGGGCTAAGTAAAGGGGACTTGCACGCTGGTCTGGCGAAGCTCTGGCGACTCACTTTTTCTTGCTTCTTGGCCGGGTAGTGCGGCTGCGACGACTGGAGCGGCCCCTGCTCTCTCAAAGCCTTCGAACTCCGCCGCGACGCACAGCCTTTTCGAACGACAAAGCACAAGGCGAGATGCCGTCGCTCAGGCCTCCAGCTTGTTCAGGATCCGCTTGGCCTCCGGCGAAATTTCCAGGCCTTCGAAGACCTCGGCCCACTTCCAGCCTTGGCGAACGGCCTCTGCCCCGGCCAGCTTGCTGCCCACTGCCGTCCAGGAAACGCTGCGAGAAGCCTGGGCCCAGAAAGACGAGTACGACAGCTTCCATCGTCCGTTCCGGTCGTCCCTGTAGACCCGAACGGCGAACGGCTGGCTCGTCCTCACCACCAGGTCGACGTTCTCGTCGACGTCGTCGTAGTGTCTGGCGATGGCGGCCGCCTTGTCTTTGGCTTGCTTCTCGGCCGCCTTCTCCTTTTTTTTCCGGGCGGCCTGGCCTGCTTTGAAGGCCGGGCGGGAGGCAAGACCTTTGCAGACGTGGTCGTAAGTCTTGCTGCTACGCTTCCGAACGTCCACGGCAGACTGCTGAGTTGCCCTCCTTGCCGCGAGCTGCCTCAAGGCCTGGTCTTGGTCGGCCGCGAGCATCGTGTCTCGCACGACGTCTTCCAAGTCCACGCCAGCCCCTTCGCCCCACACCGATGCCTCGTTCCGGCTGAGCAAGCGAGCCGTGACCTCCTCCTTGGTCAAGGTCGGGTCCAGCGACAAGAGGCAGGCGATCGTCAGTCGGTCGTCCTCGTCGTGCCCGGTGTCCGTAGCCTCGTCAAGCCAGCCTTTGCTCGTTCCGAGCTTCCTCAGAGAGGCCTCGGACACGCCAGGAAACCCGTAGTGCTCGTGGTGCTGCAGCAAGGGTCGTTTGGCCAGAACTCGAAAGACCACTCCGAGGCCCCGCTTCTCGCCGAGAGACTGGCAACCTGCATCAGGGCACGCCGTGATTACGAGATGTTTTTATGAGGTACTATATAGCTTATCGGGCTTGGGGCTGAGGCTTTAGGGTTCAGGGTTTAGGGTTGGCTTTAGGGTTTCTTATTTTTCAGATGACTTACGGCACTGTAGGGTTTAGGGACTGGGCAGTAGGGTTTAGGGCTGTTTGGTATAGACTACACTCAGAACCCTAAACCCTAAATTTAAACCCTGAACCCT